TACTTCTGTTTATACAGAAATCGAGTATTTTATGTTCCATAAAATTTTCTCTAGTTTGTTTTAGGAGAGTATTTTTGAAACAGACTAAAATTCCAGCTTCAACAGGTAAGATATGGACAGCTTTCCATCTAGGGTTAATTTTGTTCCCCTCATTATTTTTCTGAGTACCCCAGGCCCTTTAAGCAAGTTCTTACTCTGGCTAGCACATGAACCATTCAGGGCTTTATGTGAATTTGTTAGTGGGTCTTTTGATCAGTCAGTCCTCTCCAGGCTTTGTTATTTTTCAAAGAACTGGGTAGAACAATTGATGAGGCTGAAAGTTTAACATTTATTTGAGGCTCACAGCAGCCATGAGCTTAACCGTCACCATGTTTTATGAAAAACGTGCCAGATCTCATCTAGCAGATTGGTGTCAGGTGCAGGGTTGGATTACCATGCCAGAACTGAAGACAGTCTGTTTGACTGGTGTCAGCGGCAAGGTCAGGAGCCACTGTTCTGTCTGCCCATCTTCGTACAGGTCACCCCTATCTGCCCCAGCCAAGTTGCCATGCCCTATTCTCCCACCTCAAATTCAGTGATCAGTTCCCTCAGCTCCATTCAGATGATCCTTTATCCTGCCTTACGCATTTTCCCATGCAAGCACTAAGTACACAGTGTAGGTACTGCGGGAGATCCATTAGATCACCAAGCTTCCTTTCTGTTTAGCTCTCTGCTCCTTGGGGCTCTACTTGCATTTTGAACTTCATCCATTTTGGCTTGTGTGGACTTTCAGCTCTATTTTCTTAACTCAGGAAAAGCTCTGGACTCTGCCTTACCTCTCACTTGACCTGCCATTTGGAATCTGTCTCCTGGTGCTGGCTACAGCAATCAAGATTCTGTTCATTTGTGGTTCTTGTTTTAGGGGTCACAGCTCTAAAACATGCTGCTCAGTGCCTGGTGTCTAGAAACCGCTAACAGTCATGTTTTCAAGTGATTTTAGGTGAGAAAGTAAGTGCTAGTTTCGGTTCTATGTAGACTGAGGGTTTGGAGCACTAGTCAGAAGCAGTGTGTTCTGGACTCATGACACTACATAACAAACTTCATATCAAAACTACTTTTGGAGGCAGTTTTTTTTTATTTCAATGTTACATGAATATTTTTAAGGGGAGCAGGTAAAAGATGCCAAATCAGTTTAAAATTTCAACTTGTGAAGATCTGAGTTCAAATTCCAGTTCTGTACACTTGAGCAAATTCCCAGCTTCTTTAATATCCTCTGAGAGGTGAAACAAAATAATGCCTACCTCACAGGGTGTGAGAAATGAAAGTGATACAAATAACCTGCAATGTAAGAGAGGCTCTCCTGCTATATACTTTCCTTTGCCCCTAAAAATGAGTATCAAAAGTCACTTGTTGGAGCCCAGCCTATATTGGTAAGTGATCTCAACCTTCACTTTCTAATAGCTAAGATCTTGTTATAGAAAAAAAAATCACAATATGTGACTGAAAAGCCAAACACAAAATGCAATTCTGTGAAAACTGTAATTTTACCCTGTGAAACTGGGTGGGAAGAAAGTCTTGTATCCCAGCCTGTCTACTTCTGGTTTGGCTTTGGCAGGTTTTAAGTGGAAAACAATCCAGAATTCCAGCTCTGCCATGAAAAAACAAACAAATGAAACAGATTACAAATCATGTGTGTAAGACCTCAAGCCAAATTGGCTCTAGTAGTAGCTGGGATAGTGGTAGGAGCCAATTTCCTGGAGTATTTACAAAATCATTTGTAAGGATAATATTTTCCAGATTTTCATAGGGATAGCTAAAGGTAGAGTTTAAGTTGGTAGATCATAAAGTTAGCAGCCATTTAACAGGCTGAGTCTGAGAATATCTCCCACTCTAACTTTATTCCCCATGTATAGAGGTTTCACATAGGTACTGAGACCCAGGATGAGCTATAGAGCCTCTCTGCTCTTAAAACAACCACAATTTAAAGAGCAACAGGTGAATATAGTGCTTATCAGAATCAAATGGAAATAAAAACAGAGATAAAAGATCAGACCAAAGCCTTCTGGGTGAGGATGGCAAAGTAAGATTAGAGCGTTTCACTGAGTACTTTCAGCCATTTGGATGGTAAACATCCAAATTGAATATGCTTCGACTACTGTACCCAGAAGAGCCTCTTTAGTGGGAATTAAGTCTGCAAATGGTGCCATATTAGGAATTGAGAAGAGCAGAAATTCTCACTGTATCATGAGCCAAATGTATACACAGTGGAAACAATAACCAAGCATAGAAGTTTGGTGTATAGTGTCATGAGTCCAGAACACACTGCTTCTGAATAATGCTCCAAAAACCTCAGCAAACTATCATGTTTGCTTGCTACATACCCATTGTCACAACACAGCTGGTATAGAACATATATTTGGGGATGCAAAAATACACCCAGCCAGGTGGAAATGGTCCCTTTGGACTCTTTGTATTTCTCTGGTTGGAATATACTGCCAGTTTTACATCAGCCAGATCCATCCAGTTTTCTTTGCCTGAAAAGCCACAGCTGTGGGAAAGAATGGGGGAAATGCTCCTTGCAAAATAACACAAGTATCTAGTACTTTGATACCATTATGGTCTATATATAGATGTCCCCTAAGAGCCACATGTGCTCAGTGGGGACTTTTGAAAGGTGACTGAACCATGGGAGACTACAGCTAAATGTGATGTTAGGCAGCAGGGCCTGATGGGAAGAAGTAAGCCATTGAGTTGTGTGACCTGGCAGGGTGCATCATCCTCCTGTGGGTCCTCTCTTCACTCTGTTTCCTGGCTATGACATGAGCAGCTTTCCTATTCTGGGCCTTCCACCATGCCTTTCTGCCTTGGAGCTGGCCAACTATGGACTAAAAGTGTGAGCCAAACCAAACTCTGCTCCTTTAAGTTGAAGATGTCAGGTATTCTGTTCCAGTGACAAGGAAAGACAGATGCCATTCATATAATCATCTTAACCATAAAGGTTGTAAAGGGCAAAAGACAGAATTTAACATAGATTTGTAATCTGCAAGAAGGTAGATTTAGGAAATTTACTTAAGGTGAAGGCACCTTGCTATCACACCATAATAACTGAGTGAAAAATTCAGAATTTTAGCATACCTACTTAAATATCCCTAAAGTCTGTTTTATTTTGAAGATATCTGGCAGACTTGGCTTGATGGACTAATGTTTTTAAACTGGCAGCTATAATTTTTAAAAGATGAGCAATGAAGAGGTAAAGAGGAGGAAAAGACAGAATGGAAGTTTTCCAAATCAGTGTGACATAGGAAAATGAAAATCCCAACCTACTAGACATTCCAGTGTAGTCTGTGTTCTCTAAAACCGAAGAATGAATTTTAGGAACAGCAGAGGTTAAGAGAATATATTTATTGAGAGAAAGCAAGCTTCTTTTTGGGAGAGAGACAGAAGGGGTCCCTAGTAGGTTGCCAAAGACTCTTGTCTCTTCTAGGGAATTTTACAGCAAAATCATGAGGTGAGATGGGTCCAAGGTGGGGAAAACTGGGAACTCCCGAAGTAGACGGGTATAAGGTGGGACGCAGCTATGGTCAACCAGTAAATTTAATTGTTCAGGTAAAACTGACCAAATCAGGGACAAATGGAAAAGCGAGTCACATAGCAAGTAGGCATGCTTAAAGAGCAGTGACTCTTCCTGTAGGGGATTGGGATGGTGACTCCTGGCTTCAAGATGATAGAGAACTTCTTAGATTATCAATCCTTAGGATGGGAGTGTATTTGCTTGATCTTCTATTAAGATCTGGCCCACAGCAGGAGGTGTTTGTCTCCTTCAAGGTTGCAAGGTATCTGGCCTTCTGCACTGGCTGGAGGGAGGCTCTAGCCCTGTCTGCCTGCCTGTAATATTTTCATCCAACTCAGCTGCCTGTAACAAGTGGAAGAGAGAATGGGAAATAAAACACAGGCCTGATCTATATGGAATGGCAATGTGTCAGTAAGAAATGTTTCTTAAGTGGAAAGTTAAAAGAAAACTTAAAGAGTTCTTAAGTGAGAGAAGTTTGTTTTCTTAAAATGTTTCATCTGTGGTTACTGGCATCAAATCAGTGGCTAAAAATTTTTTCCTTTGACATCTTTTTTTTTTTTTTTATTTTGGTGGCATTGGGGATCAAACTCACGACCTCACACTTGCCAGGCAGGTGCTGAGCTAAATCCCCAGCCCTTTGACATCTTTAATATAGTGGTTTTTCAGCTTTGTACACCTCACCTCATACATGTAAGATTGTTGCTACAGATGTAGACCAAATAACAAGTGATGTCCTAAACAAGAAAAGAAGGCACTGAAAGGAACTTTCCTTTAAGTGAGGAGGGGCAATTCTAAGATTGTTTCAGATTTTCTGTTACACCGTATCAGCTAAAACTGGGTCACATGAACATCCTTTTAGGAAAGGCTTGTTGGAAAAGTATATGAACAAGAAAAAATCAATGATGTGAAAGACTTAGAACATTTTTGCTCTCACATGCAATTATCCTATATACCATCTATTTAAAAAAGTCAGTGCTCCTAGAAATGTTTATGTCATTTATTTCATTATTACCACCCCTGTAGAAATCCTCACTTGATCAGCTAGAATCAAAGGATGCATAGGAGCTCTTGATTTCAAGGAGCACAAAGTAACACCAGAAAGCTGAAGAAGGGCAAAGGAACAAGAGATCAAGTGTAAAGATTCTAAGGCTGGCTGGGCTGGGGATGGGAAGGCAGGAGGGAGAGAAAAAGAGAGAAGGAGACAGAGAGGTATAGGAGAGGGAGAGGATCAGAGAGAGGAACAGGGAGAGGGAGGGAGACAGAGGGAGAGAGAGAGATGATACAGTGATAGCAAAAGAGACAGAGGGGAGGGAAATTAAAAGCAAGGTCAGCTTCAGAACAATCGTCCATTTACTTTTCTGAATTTTTTTCTTAATCATTCATTTTCAGTTATCGAAATTCTTCATGAAGTTAAAATGAATACTTAGGACATAAGCAGCAACAGCTGAGGTCAAGGAGTTAAGAGAGATAAAGTTTATTAAGTGAACAAGGCCACAATTTAGAAATGAGTACTTTTGCTTTTATGGAGTGAAGAACAACTTTGTTGCTGTATCAAACTACTTGAGATTTGTATGAAAATAAATCATAAGCAGAATTAAATGAATCTCTTGAGTTGCTGGCTTCTCTGCTCCAAACACATCAAGAACATCTGGGTTCTTGTTCCCAGTGGGCACTTCCTTGCTGCCAAGAGGCCTCTCAACCACCACCACAGGAGGGATTTGACACTGGTGTTAAAGTTCCTTGAGCATTAAAGACACTTTTATTACCTATCCACCAGCAATGGAGTTTGAAACTTGGGAATACGATACAAAACAAGTAGAACTTGGGGTTGGTGGGTAGGGCATTATTATCTAGGTCAAATGACAGTTTAGAATCTACAGGGAGATGTATACTCGGTTGCAACCAGAAAATACTGTGTAACCCATACAACCCAACAATTCTGGGTTGTATCATAAAATATATGTTCATTTTGGATAAAAGAGGATTATAAAATCTGACAGCAAACATAAATTGATAAAATTATAAATTAAGCAACAACTGATCAAACAATAAACAAAGAAAAAAGTAGGTATCGTGAAAAAAATTACAGAATCAATATTGAATTTATGAAAAAAAAAGAAGCAAAGATACTTCAGAAATGAGTGGTACTGAAAGTAGCTAATAAAAACTTGTAAAAATCTAATACAATTAGGATAATTTATTATTTTCTGATCTCAATCTTGATTGGTACTGGCTGTTGGATTTTATTAATACAAAAACTACAAGAAAACGAGCTCAATACTGTTGCTTTAAATGCGCTGTTTTCAGTTCACATAGAGATGCTAGAAAGATTAAGGGGCAAGTTACTGTTTATTACCACCATTTTTGGTGAAAACTTACCAGATATGATTTCTTCACAATTTAAATAAACTTAATGATGTGTTTTGGAAGGGAGACAGCTATTTCACTTTATTTCTGAGGCCAACTAACTGACAATCAATCCCTGAAAAGAGGTAGAAAGATTCACTTTGTCTTTCAGGAATACGATTTTTTCTTGTTTGCTAGAAATTTGTCCTAGTGAGATCAAACTGAACTTCTTGATTCACCCCTGAAACTAGCTAAGTACCCATTCAAGCTAAACATTCTCTACAGCTGTCTTCATTAATGGTCATTTTACATAAAATAAAAAAAACTAAGTACAATCTGATAAAAAAAATCTCATAGAAATGCAGTTTTTGACCAGCAGGTTTTTACTATGCAATCTTACAGAAATTGTCTTTCAATATCACAATGTCAATGAAAATGTCAATGAAATGTCAATGAAAATAATAACTTATGGATTGAAATGTGTTTTTAACCTAAGAGGAAAAATATTATAAACATAAATTCTGAACAGAAAAAAAATGAGGTGCAGGTAGCTGTGCTTTTTCAGTGCTTTAATACTTCATTTAAAAAAAGTAAACACAGCACCAATCATCATTTTGATTCCAGTGAAAACTTAAAATTATACTTATTTATCAAAGTTGAAGTCTGAAACCAAAATGATCTTTTAACAGTATTGCCACAGAGACAATTCTACTCTAAAAAGTCAATCACAACATGAAATTTTGACAAAAAGCAGCTCTTTGTTACCAAATACTGGAGTTTGTCTTTTTGTTGGATTTCAACTTGCCATAGCAACCAAGGATAAGACTGCACACAAACCGCAGTATGCAATGCTTGATGAAATCAAATATGAGATTAAACACTTTTAACACCTGGATTACAATTCCTGCTGTAACACAAATTGTACTGAATTTACAATGGCCTAAAATTTAGCAACAAAATCTATTTTTAAAAATACCACCTTTCTTATATGTTACCTTAACTGTAGACATTACAACCATTTTAGTTTCTTATTTAGAGATACATAACCTCTCCCTGAAAAACTTGAAATAGTTATCATACTTCAATCAGCTTTCTGAATTACTTTATAATCAGCAGTGACTATTTTATTGCTTCTTTAATCAGAGTAAAAAGAATGACAGTGATTTCTGAAAAGTAAACTGGAGAACACGAATCTAATTAACAATATAACACTTTTTAATAACCACTGGATTTGAATATTATTTTTAGTTGTAAAATATCCATTGTTTAGGAGAAACAGATGTGAAGGTACAAACTGCTAAACTTGCCAAAAATTGTTTCAACCTATAGGACTCTGATGTCTTCCAAAACAACAATAGCACACAAACTGAACAATAAAGAATTCAGTCTCTATAAATGAAAAAAATATAATATTTCTATAGGTTTAAAAGATTTGTTTTTAAATATTCAAGTGTAATCCTATTGTAAAAGATTAAAACATACATTTTAACTGTATCAGATGTGTAGATTTCCATTTGTTCCTAACTCATTAATATGTAGGTTCACTGGGCCAACAAACAGTTTATCTGGTAGGGAGAGATGGTCATATCAATTGACATAAAGAGCACGGATATAACAACATTCACCTATATGGGTGAGATCCATTTTTACATCCCTGAAATATAAGTGGCTGCTTTCTCCAATTACATTGCTCTGTACTAAAGCAGCATTGCCCATGAAGATTCTTTCAAAGCTAATATTCCACCTTTACAAGTAACAATTCAAATTAAAAAGATAAAGACCAAATTCATGTACCCATGACCCTTTGTAAATCCTAACATGTAGAAACATTCTTAGTTTTAACCAGGAATTACATTGGAATGAAACAATGGTATCTTTTAAAGTAATTTTAAGTGTACTCTACATATATCACTCAATATTTTGTGGACATAATTTAATCAATAATAACATCATAATGTTAATCACTATTGTGATTCAGAATTAGATTCTGGCTATAGAGGAAGCTTAATTATTAAGCAACACCTTCCTAAAAAAGCTTCTGTATTTCTGATTGGTAATAAAACATCAATAACAACAAAAATCTCCAAATGAAGTAACACTGAAGTTTGAGCTTGGGCCCCCTTCTTCGTGTTAAACATAATTAACTCTTCAAAATAAAATGATGAGACGTATAGTCACATTAATAACTTATAGTCGTCTTCAAGAAAACTCTATGGGTAATTCTGGTGTTTCAACTGTGTATCTTGGATCCAATCTGGGGGTGAAATCCTGAAAATATTTAGATGCATCTGTACCAAAAACATCAAGGACTTTTCGATTCATTACAGCAAATCTGTAAAACAGAAGACACAATGAAGAAATATTTAGCAAACATTATAAAATAAAGTGGTTCACTTTATTGGCTCTGTTTTCCTAAAATGGAGAACAGAAAGAGCTTACCATGGTCAATGATCTAAACTCTGACAGATTTAGGTCATATGGGTAATGCACTGTCTAGGATTCACTGTATTTTATTTAAAGAGATGATTCTTATACCCCAAACCACAGATTGCAACCATTATTTCAAATCTTTCTGGAGTTCATTTTACTACATTATCTCAAATAGAAAATTTCACTCATTAGTATTTCCCTGGTAAATAAAACCACAGGAAACTAAACAATGAAGAAACTAACATTTATCAATGGAACAAAGGTATTAAATGTAATTTCTCTCATAATTGAGATTGTAGTATCTCAAAATCATAATAAAACACTTCCAAATATGCAAATGTGTCATGATTAAAAAGTACCAAGCATAAGGCTCTTAATTTCTAGTAAATATAACAGAGTAAAAGTAGAGCCTTATGTTACTCCTCACCTAACTAAAAGATACAAATTTTTAAGAGGCACACATTTAGATAACATACAGGATAGATCTTTCATGCCTCTTTTCCTACTTACAAGCATTTCCTTTCTGGAGGAAAGGATAAAGGAAAATTAGTTTTGAATCACTGGCCAGCATCATTATTCCAAGAGCCAATAAATGTGACTTTTAGTTCTTTTCCAAAGTAAGTTCACTTCCAGAAAAATGAACTGGTAAGACTCATTAATGTGAAGAACATTTTATGACACACAAAAAAAGATGAAACAATAGACAATGGATTCTGAAGTCAGACTTCCTGGTTTGTATCCCAGCTCTTTCGTTTATTAGCAGTATGACTCTGGCAAATCACATAACCTCTCTGTGATCCTAAGTTTCTTTGTATGTAAAATAAAGATAACAACAGTACCTATCTCAGGAAACCATTTTAAGGATTAAAATAGAGGTAACCTAAATTTGTATCTTAAAACTGTATGTGGGATATTGTACTATGTAAGTACCTGCTATTATTACTGCTGTTGTTAAACATCCTAAATGTGCCACAATCATACTTTGGATGGGCTATCGTTGGGATATGGTTTGTCCCCCTAAGGTTCATGTACTAGAACACTGATCCCAGTGTAGCAGAATTGAAGTGGTGGAACTTTTAATTGGTAGGGCCTAGTATAAGGAAAATAGGTCACAGAGTCTCCACTCTCAAAAATGGAAGCTAGTTTTGCAGAGTATTTTGGGTCCTGGACGACCGGTTTAATTCCCACAAATACAAATTACTATGAAACAAGGCACACCATGATTTTTCCCTGTACATGTGGCCAATTCCCTTTCTTGTTCTCTGCCATACTGTTACACAGTCAGAAGACCTCCCAGAATGCCAATGTCATGATGTTTGTCTAAACCTCCTGGCTACTAGAATCATGAGCCAAATTAGCCTCTTTTCTTTCTGCATTACTGTATCAGGTATTCCATTATAACAACACTAAACAGACTAAGACAATGCAAATTATCACTTCATTATAGACAGAAAGAAACTTAGTCAAAGTAAGTAAGTTTCCCACAGAAAAATGACTAAAGTATCAATGTTGCAGTCAAACTTAGGTCTGTGTGACTCTAAACCCCATGTTTTTTCTGTTAGGTTAGACTGTCTTCCCCCAAATTAGATTAGCAATAGAAAAAAAAAAAAAAAAGAGGAGGAGGAGGAGAAGGAGAAAGGAAAGCGAAATAGGAAGGAAAGGAGAGAGAAGAAAGGAGAGGGAAAAGAAAAGGAAGAGGAGGAAGAGAGGAAAAGGTTGAGGGAGGAGGGAGAGGAGGATGCTAGGGGAAGAGAAAAGGATGGAGAGGAAATGAATATGACAGGAAAGGTAGAAGAAAGTAAACTTAAAATATCAGTCAATGGAAGATGATTATTTTTCCAAAACAGAAATCAATTAATTATAGATATGAACCATTTTAATAAATCTGCTTAATATTTTTAATCAAAAAGATCCAAAATTCAAAAAAGTAGGCTTCAGTATTATGGAGCAATTAATTAACAGTTGAGAAATCAATGATGTTACTCTAGAACACTTGAAATATCTAAAATATTATGAAGAAAAATACAATAATGCTCACTTCAGGATGTCCCGTGAAGTTCTTATCAAGTTGATAATACTGGATTTATATACGACTATCTGCATTATCACTGAAAGAACATTCCCTCAAAACAACAAAATATTTCATAATCTTTTATAGAAGCTGCTGTTCTTCTATAAGCATTCAAAACATCTCTGTCACTTACCTTCCCTTAGTGAGCCTTAAAAGGAACTTCCAGTAAGATGGTCGCAAGTTCTGAACTTCCATTACGGCCTAAGATTATTCAATTTGAGATTTCTTTTAGTAGATGCAAATATTATTTACAGCCCAAGGCAACAAAATAATGTCTATCTCTAGATTTACTGCTCATTATATTTTTCAAATGATGGTAATAACAATAATATAAAAATATGTATTTGTATTTAAGTCAAAAGTCATCAACAATCTTTGAAAATATGCCTTAAATAATAAAATCAACAGTCAGTATCAATTATCATTAGTATTTACTGAGTACCCATTAGACAGGTGACCCTTTACTGATTTCATTAGTTCATCAACGTGGCAACATTCCTGTGAGAAAAGAGCAAATAAAACCTCTCCCAAAACTGCAACAGCTCTTTATGACCATTACACAATACCAAGAGATTAAATAAAACTTTTATTAAACCAATTGTTCCCTCATCTTCATTCTCTGAGTAATGTTGAGAAGAAAATGCAATCATTCATATTTATGCCCAAGGTATATTTTTTCTTGAAGAAGTATAATTAATTGAGTGTTCTATTCACTGTATCGGAGGAAGGATTTATCTGCAGATTGTGTTCTTTTTAAATCTAAAAACTGATCTATTCATAAAACAAGGCCTGGCCAATGTTAATAGGTACTATGATTTGTGACATTTAAGCTATCTTGCTGGGAGAACAACAAAAAAACATAAAATATGATAAACTGAAATGTTTCCAAGCTGTTATTTTCCCTCATTGGATTAATGTAAATTAAAAACAAACTTCTATTTCTCTTTTCAAAAGCTATACTTACTGCATGGAAACAAATTGCTGTAGAGATAGAGTAAATGATAGTATCTGCATGAGGAAAATAGGGAACCTTCCCTGCTTGAATTCCTTTGAAATATATTGTCTGCAAAACAAGTATAAAGCAAGAGTTATATAAAAAAAACCCAAACAGCATTAACAATACCATTGAGTAGTATGTTTCCTACCCATAACTGTGTCTTCTACCTATCTGAAACCTAATACTTCTCAGAGCTCAAATCACATTATATTTTCTGTGACAATGTCAAGTGTCAGCCCATCCCTCTTCTTCATTCCTTCACTCCAACTACCAGCTTCAAATAGCAATAGTTTCCTGTGGAATTCAATAGCATTTTATTACTACTGATATCATTTATTCTCCAATGCTTTTCTTTTTATCTCCTGCTATCTGATCACTTGGATATGTGAAATATTCTTAACAGATTTAGACACACATGAAAATAAACAATGAACATGCAAGTGAGAACAGGCAGAGGCTGTGCTTATAGAGATCTAGCAAGGGACTCATCCACACTCCCCTCAGTTGTACTGGCAGAGACTCAGGAGCTGATAGGAAAGGGAAGGTTTCAAGTATGCTGTGAATGAAATCGGTTGGTAGTGGAAGTTGGATACTGGCTGGCTAGAGGTGGCCAGATTTTGTATTATTGGTCTGACAGCTGATTTCCTTTCCTGTGCTGACCCATCCAGGGTGACTGCTATAGAGGGTGTGGCTTTCTTTTTAGGCTGGTTACTTTGGAGACAGCAGGTCAGAATTCCATGGTCCAGCATGGTCTGACCACTGTCCATTTGAATATTGAGCTTTCCACTTATTTTTCAAAGTGCCTTGTTGACAGTTTGAGTGCAGTGATGGCGACAGAGTTTGTGGGGTGGATCCTAGACAAACAGCTTAGCTCACTGGAGGCCCAGAGTCTGAACCCAGCAGGTAACTTTGGGCAGACAATTTTCATAAGGTTGTTAAAGACTAAGAAATATAAATGTGACAGGTTTTCTATTTTTATTTACTTTTTGTTTTTTAAAATTTATTTAAGAGGAAAAAAGACATAGAAAACAAAAACAAAAAGCAAAAGGGACAAAAAACAAAAACAAACCCAATACAATAAAAGTATACAGCTTCCGGGAGAACGTGGTGGATAGATAACAGCAGCTACAGAGGCTCTCTTAGATAGCCAGCTTAGATTCCAGGAATGGTGCAATGTGGGGAGTCCTAAGCAGGGGGAGATATATCCTGCCAACCCAGGAACAAAGTAAGCTGAGAGAAACCAACTGGAAATGCAATCCCGGTGCTACGAATGGAACAGCTAAAGTCTCAGTGTGGAAGCTGGAACCCACGCCTCTGGAAACCATGGCATGAATTTCCTGCCGCCGCCACTGCATCTGAATCGGCACAGCAAGGATACAGACGTGAAAGGTCTGAGAGCGGGAATTGGCAAACCGAATTGGGAGCAGAGCTGGCGGGGAGCCCTGCATCGACCTGCGGTGAGTGAGAGGAACAGGGACCCTTCCATAGACTAGGAGGCTCTGACAGAGGACACTGTGGGACCGGGCAGACCCTAGCCGGAACAGGACGCTGCAGTGAGTTCAGTCATATATTCCCCTCTCAAGCAGGATTGGTAGGGAGCACTTGACCTGGGTGATGCTGCAGACTAACCCAAACCAGGCTAGCCCAAACCAGGTCCCTGCACCTGGCAGTGTACCCTAATGCAGGGAAGCCTTTAGCAGGTTGACCTGGAGGGGCAGGCTCAGCATAGGCTGCCCAGGTCTGTGTCTCCTTAGTACACTGCAGTGTGCAGGAACACCTAGCCAGCACGATTCAAACAATCTTTAACCAACAAAGAAAGAAACTGGACCTGCTATATACGCTTGTATGGAAGGAACAAAAAATATGGAAAGAGGGAGTATCAAGAAAGGGTCCTCAGTCCCCAATCTTAAGAACACTGATCCAGGAAAGGTAAATACAAAGGAGAATGAGGACAGAAAACAATGCAATATCAGACACGGCACCAACAGACATAAAGCGATATCTCCGGGACCTCATAGATGAGTTCAAAAGTGAACTATTTAACCAAGTAAAGCAAGATATAAGTAGAATAGTTAATGAAATGCTAAGCACCTCCCAAGAAAAAAACAGACGATGGAATGGAAAAACAGAAAAAAAGGAGGACAACTGTATGATGGGGAAAATAAAGAAAGTAGAATACATGAAGCAGGTTCAAAGAGATTACGAGGAAACTAAAAACTCCACTGAAAGCTGGCATAATAGCTTGAAAGAAACTAAGGATAGGTTATCTGAACTGGAGGACAGATTTGCAATGTGGGAGCATGAAAGGAAAAACTTCTTAAAAATAACAAAGAAACAAGCAGTAACAATACAAAGGCTAGAAGATGATAAGAGGATCAATAACTTAAGAATTAAGAATGTAAAGGAAGAAGCAGAAATACAAACAAATGAACTGCAAAGGCTATTCACAGAAATAAGCAAGGAGAACTTCCCTAATATGGGAAAAGGTAAAGATACTCAGATCTATGAGACATACAGGACCCCAGCCACCTAGAACCCAAACAGAACTACACTCAGGCATATAATAATCAAAATTCCAGAAATCCAATATAAGAACAGAATATTAAAAGCTGTCAGAGACAAGAAATAGATCACTTACAAGGGAACACCCTTCAGAATTATAGCAGACTTCGTGGCACAAGCCATCAAATCACGAAGAGCATGGGGCGAAATAATTCAAGCTTTGAAAGACCATAACCTCCAGTCAAGATTGATATATCCTGCACAACTGTCCCTAGAAATTAATGGAGAAACAAGGTGCTTCCAGGATAAAGAGGAACTAGGGGAATTTGCAACCACCAATTCAATTCTATTGATAATACTGCAGGACACTCTAAAAGAGAAAAATAACAAGATTCCAGAAACAGTGGCAGAGAGGCCACAATGAATAGAACAGAAAGAGAAATGAAGAAGACAAACTGACAACAAACAACAGAAAAAGAGCTCAACAGAAATGAGGCAGAGAAGATTGGATGGTAGGAACAGCTATTTTGGAGAAAACAAGACATCATAATAGCTAGTGCTGATTTAATATCATCTTGTTTTGAAGTCCCATCAAGCTTTTATTCTTCTGTCTCCATCAGTCGTAACATGTTGTATCTTATTGGATTTTAATATATGTGATAATATAAACAAAAACTTTTATAGACAAGGAGATAATACAGAAATCATGTTCATTTTCTGTTAGTTGGTTCTAAAACCCTGTAATACTGTTGAATGGTTTGACATTGTCGTGATATGTTTGATACTACAGTATACGAAGTTATACTCAAAGATTACAAGAGACACTATAATAACTAATTTTATGTTGGGATATCTTGTGGAGAAACACTATTTTGCTTGAATGGTTATGTTCTGACCTGTGCTGTTTTGTTGTTATGTCCTCTTTTATCTCAATCTCCTTTTTAAATTATTTTTTTATTTTTATCTTTTTAATTAAGGAAAAAATAAAACATAGCAGGATATATTATAGTAATCCACTTTGATTTCCTGTTAATTTAATTTGACACCCTGTATTGCTCTCACCATCTTGTTTTGACTGGTTTTACTCTATTCTGTTTTGCTTGATAGTACCAAGTTTGAGAGTATATGCAACAACTGTGAAGATAGTAAGATTCACTATGATGCCCATTCTGGTTTGACTATTATCTTCTTTTGAAGTCCAGCAATGTCTCCAATGTTTTGGTTTTATTGGTTTTGTTCTTTGCTGTTTTGTTCAATTTTAATATAACTGATGATATAGGCAATTCTTTTTAAGATAGCAAGAGGCATTATGGTAACCATTGTTGATCACCTTGTATTCTGTTCTTACATTATGTGCTATGTCCATCCTTTTGATTTGACTGACTCTGTTTTGTTATGTCACATTTGGTTTTATTCTCTTCAAAAAAAAAGTAATAAGAACTGTGGGAGTAATAAAACCCAAAATGTGTAGTTATGTATTGTAAAAAAGAGAGGTAAAGAATGTGCTCCTAAGGACATAACTGCATGTATAGTTAAGCGTATAAGATAGGTAACCATACTACTGAGTTTTTGTTGGATCACTGAACTGTTTGCAGTCTCACTGTTTGAATGTCCATTTTATATGCTTTAATTTTGTAATGTGAACAACTATTTCTAAGATGACAATATGTAATCTATTAACTAGTGGTTTCCTGTTTACTTTTTTAAATTCTGTATAACTTGTACTTTTTCTGTTTTTTTTTCTTTTTCTCCTTAAATAAAGTTTAAAAAAATAATAGTATAGGTTTACAAAACAAGATGGTAGGAATTTGACAATGGTTTTAATATTGCATATTGTTACCTTCAAAAGAGTTGCTTAAAATATGAACATTAACTGTTTTTTCAATACTTAATACATTAGTAGTATAGTCATTGTAGCTATCTAATACATATATATACAAATCTATGTCTTTTCCTTTTCCCTTCCTTCTTTCCTTCTTTCCCCATCCCAATTACTTTTCCTCTTTGAGCGGTTTCTTACCCTTACATTGTATTTTCTCCAATGTTTTTTATAAGTGATAAAGTTCTCCCTTCCTTGCTAGACCTGCTCATTCATTCATTCATTCATTTATTCATTCACTCATCCAGGGAAAATTTACATTAACAATATGCATTAAATTTAGCATTAACAATATGCTAAACATAATGTTAGGAGCAAGGTATTTAAAATGAACAAACTATAGTGTATAGTACACATCACTAAGGCATGAATTTTTGTGTGCATGTGTGCAAGTAAACTTGGCTCCTCAGAAGAAGTAACTACTTTTCCTGAAACAGAAGAATTGCAGAAAAGACTACATTTGAGTAGTGTTTCTAAAACCATATACAATATTATAATAAAATTAATTATTGGAAAAATAAATTAAAAAACATAATTAAACCAAATTTATACTATGGAATTCAAAATATAAAACACTACTCTGTCAAATTGCTATAAAAGGTCCTCAGTACTTACTATTATTGCACTCACATTACCACTGAATGGTAGTAAACAGGCAATGAACTAATAGTAGTCTGCTGTTGACACTTTTTATAGTGTTGCCTTGTAAGATGCACAGAATCAACAAGTAAATAAGAGAGAAAATGTGGATGACGTGCACAGCATGAATGCACATCTCATATATATTTATCCTCTCTTTCTCTCTCTCCCTCTCTAAGACAAAATAAACTTTTACTCTTTATAAGCTCAATTATCTCAGGTATTATAGTAATAGAAAGTTGACACAATGCAGCTAATTTGACACAATTTTCACTACATAACATTTCAATGTAACATTAACTTTAATCATAGAAAAAATGATGGCAAGACTCTTTTAATTAATTTTACAAAAGGCATGCTAAGTTTATATTTGTATTTTTCTTTATTAATAGAAAATCCTCATCAGCATATTCCATACAAGTTTAATTTGCCAAAATCAGCTATGGCCAGAGGATATATAATACATTAGTTGGCTTTAAAAGCTCTAGCCAACTACACAAGGAAACAACTATAAAACACCTCCTACAAAGTAGATTTCAATATTGGTTTCCTTTGTGTCAAAGAATGTATTTTGCTACCAAGGAATTATTGTTTCTCTTTTCTTCTTCACTAGCAGCTTTGTCAACTATATTTCAAAACAAGCATCAATTCTGTGTAATTCTCTGTTTAGTCAATTTTCTATTGCTGAGACAAAATACCTAAGAATATCAATTGAAAGGAGGAAAAATTTGTCTGTTTTATAGTTTCATGGTCACTTGACCTGCTGTTTCTGAGCCTGTGGTGAGGCAGAATATTCTGGTGAGGAGCATGTGTTAGAGCAAAGCTACTCACCCTACTCACCTCATGGAGGCTGTTAAGCATGAGGGGCAGGGTAGAAAGAGGGGGAAAAAAAAGAGGGGGAAGAGGAGGCAGACTGTCAATGTCACCTTCAAGGGCAAACTCCTAGTGACTTCACTTCCTTTTACTAGACCACACCTCACAGCACCACAGGCTGACAAACAAGCCCTTAGCACATGGCCTTTGGGGGACATTTCAGGTCCAAACCGTAACAACTTCTCCCCATTGCTGACAATGCTGGAATGAGCTACCATCTTGCGCTAGAGACTATGTTCTCCTAGCTTCCTAAAGTCTTATTTCCCTCCAATATACTCTCTCTATAAAAATCAGAAAGGCTCTTCTAAAATGTGAATTAAATCATGTCATTTTCTTGCTTTGAACTCTTCAGGAGCTTCAAACTATAATGAGAATAAAACCAGACTAGTTTCCATAGCTTTTAAAATCCCACAGGATCTGTCGTCTGCCATCTTCCTTATTTCATTATCTATAAGTTCTCTCTCCACACATACACATGAAAAGCAAATATATACTGGAATTCTCTTAATGTTATTAGGAACACAGATTTTCAGTGTAAGACAAAACTTTTATAACTATCAAAAAAAACCCCTATAATCAACTTTGAACTATAAATAATATGCTCCAACTTCTCTCACTTTCTCTGAGAAAAAGCTCCATTTACTGAGAAAGCCAAGAAACAATAAACAGGCACCCACACTGAAGTCTCTAAACAGGTTTTCCCACCAAAAGAAACTAGGAACCATTAAAGAACAGATTAATTCTATGTCTGGGAAAGAAAATAACCCAATGAGCCTGTAATATCTTGATTTATAACAAGAGTATCAAAGACTCAAAGATAATGGTCTATATCAAAAACAGGAGTCAAGCCAGGCACGTGGTGATGCATTCCTATAATCCTAGCAGATGAAAAGCTTAAGCAAGACTTCAAAGTCAACCTGAACTACATACTAAGACTCTGTCTTGAAAAAAGAGGCAAAGATCGGGACAATTTGAGCATAGTAAATACAATTCAGATATGCTAAAATCTATGGCTTCAAAATGGTACCTTGAAAATAAAGACTCACAAGACAATTTTGTGATGCTAAGGTACTAACTCATTTGGAATGCAGATACAAAAGAAAAATAAGCATTTTATTTTCACTAAGAAAATATTTCAAAGGAGAAAGCTCTTTAGAGTCATTTTAGCTAATGAATACAGAAGAAATAATAATAGTAAATCACCACTATTTTACAACTCTTAATAAAATAATGAGCGCCAATAATGATCATTAATGACTGCTAAAACAGGGGAAAGATGATTGGGGAACTGTAAGATGGTTCTCTCAATATCTGGTTCAATAATTAATCTTAGCAGTAGAAAAAAGAGAGACAACCAGACATTACTGAGGCTCTTAATGCAATGAAATAGTACATTCACACAGCAAGTAAATGTCAACTATTTCTACCACCTTACCCCCACCAAAAAAAATTACAGTTGAATATGCTTAAGCCTATAGAAAGCATATAACTAAACTTATGCCTAGTTAAGTTTACAGAAAATACATTAGTTAAAGGAACATAATAAATACCAATAGGAATGCAACCTGCAAAATCCAAAATGTGGGAAATCTCTCAGGACTAATGACATGTATGTAACTTCAAGAAATAAACAGCAAGAAATAAAGGAGATACACAAAAGAGGAAAAGATAACCCTTATACAAAATTAAGAGATTCCACTTGAGCCTTGACTCAAAGAGATTACACAAAGACATTTATAAGATAATCAGTGAAGATGAAATCATTTCATTCAATATATGATAAGGAATTATTAGGGTTTTCTAAAACATATGATATGGTATTGTGCATATATTTTGGCAGAATTATGGATCTGATCTTAAGAAATTTTAATGCTGAGTATTTAACAGATGAAGTGCTGCCATGTCTCAGGTTCAGTACTGGGATAATGAGTTTAGATAAAAGGAAATTGGCCAAATGCTAATAAAAGCTGCATGCTGAATATATGAAGGTTAATTCCACTATTCTTTATATATAAGTATAAATTTCAAAATAGCACAAACACAAAAACCACTTTTATGGCATACGAATCTGTCTTTGTAAAGAGCATATATGTTTCTGCCACTAAAGTAATTAACAACTAAAAAAGCTTTACATTTTTTGAGATTCTTTTAAAGATTTTTATTAATATATGTTTTACAGTACATAAAATAGTTATATTCATTGTGAGGAGTTAGTGGAAAAGGGGATAAAAAGTATAATTAAAAAGCTTTGTATCTTTTGGAACTATTTAAGCATTAAAAATGCTGGCTTACCTCCACCAATTTGGAAGCTAAATACATGGAAATTGTTGTGCTTTTATAAAACATCATTGATATACCTGCCAAAAATCCTGAAACAGCAAAAAAGGAAAAACTGATCAGACTGCAATGTATTCAATGAAAAAGATTAAAAACATCAAAAACATTCATTCACTTATACAGGAAAGAAATCACTTGTAGCACTATTTCTCATTACAACATAATCAACCATAGTACTATACCCAATAACATTAAAAGAGTGACTCCTCATACTCACACATTTTAAAAATTTTTTAAAAATTTAATTTTCAGGATTAAAAATGAACAATTATAACATACATGTAGCAATAAATTTTACATGTCAGAATTAACTTTAAAAACATTAGTGGCCTTGCCAAATACAACAATCTTTGAAAATCATTTTTAAAAGCTATTTGTATCACTTCTGATTTTAAGTGGGAATATTTATTTATTTATAAATGGAAAATGGGGATAGAATACTAATAGTATTGTCACTAATAAATTATCTGATATGGGGGCTGGGGATTTGGCTCAGCAGCATAAGTGCCTGCCTTGCAAGCAAGCAATTGTGAGTTCGATCCCTGGTATCGATAAAAACGAAAAAAAAAATAAATAAATAAGTAAATAAATTATCTGATAAACAATCTATTTAACTTAAGCAGTATAAATATATACTGTACTTTGAAAAATAATCATTACTTTTAAAATTCATGAAATTAATTTCTTTACAAAGTTATCATTTTCTGTTAAAAAGAATATTTAAAGAAATCTACTTGAAATCCCATTAAACATGTATACAATATTTAAACCATTTTGCTCTTTTGTGACACCTTCTCTAAGATTTTTGGCCTTAGCAGCACAGATCCCATAGTCATTATACTGCCAACTCCAAGTACCAGATGACAAGAGCCTCCTAACAGGATTAACTATGCCGACAAAATATTTGGGTAAGTGTCTCCAGAGCGATCCTACGCAACAGAAAAAAGAACATAACAGAAATTGGAAGAATTTGGAAGCATTTTCTGATTCGCTGCTACCACTGACTGATAAAATAATAATCATTCTTTATTATCATTATTGTTATTACTACTACTACTACTACTACTACTACTATTATTGTTTTACCAGCTACAATAGCATGTAGTTCATCATCCAGATTTCTGATCCAGCGCAAGAAGCAACTAGTACCCTGTGTTAAGGAGAAAATACAAAGACTTCAATTATTTTATTTATAAAAAGTCGTGAAAACATAAACAACTGGTATGATTCATTCACTAGATGGCCTTGGAGACAAACTAGTGATGTTATATCAATCAAACAGAACAGATGATTGAGGAAATTATGAATACAATCTATTTAAATTACTACTCTAGAAAGACTATGAAGAAATTACATATTATACTTTTATTGTACTGATGTTTCCAAATAAACTCATAAATTCTACTTTTGCCCAAACATGAAATTCTGGGGAAAATGTCACTTCCATCTTAAAAAGGGGAATAAACATAGACAAACTACAAGGCTGTCAAGTCAGAATTCTACTCCCACAGAACATATATTCTTAATACTGAAAGTGAAGCAGAGACTTTTTCTAAATAGATAAAAGCTGAAGAAAATGTATCATCAGCAGATCTGTGCTACCAGAAAAGATAGTTCTTCAGGCAGAAAGAATACGGTAACAGACAAGAATTTAGATCTATAAAAAGACATGAAGAGCTCTGAAAACAGAAAAATAAAGGCAAATTTAGGAAACATGTTTCTCATCTTTAATTATAAAAGTGAATTAACTGCCAACAACAAGGTCCAACAGGTTACGTCCCACTATCCAAATCTGGCCTGTCATCTGGTTTTATAATACTCAGTAGCTAATACTGTCTTTTGTTTGCTTGTTTTATTTGGTGTTTTGAGATAAGGTCTCACTGTGTTGCCCAGAATGACCTTGAATTCCTGGGCTTAAGTTTAAGTGAACTTCTTAACTTAGCCTTCCAAGTAGCTGGGTCTACAGAAGTATGTCCCTATACCTGCCTTAGCTTTCAATACAGTTTTTTATAGTTAAGTGGATGAAAAATAAATCAAAAGAATATTGTGTGATATAAAAATTACATGAACATCTAGTTGTAAAGTGATAAAGTTTTTATTAGAAAATAGCCATGCTCATTCATGTGTTTATTATCTATGTGTTTGCATAGTAACAGCACAGCTGACTCGCTATAAGAAAAGGCTGTAAGACTAAATATTTTAGGCTATAAGAAAGCCTAAAATATTTACTGTCTGGTCCTTTATGGAACAAGTTGACTGACCACTGGTCTAAAGCAAATATAATAGCCATATATTGTGGAATTTGTAACATTTGTAAGCATAAATGTGCAGCACAAAAATGGAAAGAATTATAAGTATAGTGCTGTGAGGTTCTCAATTTATCCACAAAGTGACATAATACTAAGATACATTGATAAATTTAAAAGGCATATTCCAAATGTTAAGGCAAACATTAAGTTAGAAAAAGAAATATTAACAATGAGCCAATAATAAAGATAGAATGGAGTGTTGCAAAAATACACAATCAATCAAAAAAGCAGAATAAAAGAGAGAGAAAAAAATGAAACAAATTCACAACAACTCATAAGAAGGCAGATGTTAGGGCAACAACATCATAAGTATGTTGAGTGTAAATAGTCTAAACATATCAATTAAGGATATAGATGATCACACTTAATAAAAAAGGAAGAGTGAACTATACAGTGTAAAAGAAATGCACTTTTCAAATGAACATGGAAATATTAAAAAAATATAAACACTATACCATTAAACATTAATTAAAAGAAAGCTGGAGTAGCTATATTAATATCAGAGACATAGTACATTTCAGAACAAGGATTATTACCAGAGATGAAAAAGAACATTACATGCCAGATATGGTGGCACATGCCTGTTATCTCAGCACTCTTGTTAGGCTGAGGTGGGAAGACTGAGCGAGCCCAGCCTGGGAAACTTACCAAGATCCTGTCTCAAAATAAAAATACAAAAAAGGCTTGGGATCTAGCTCAGAACCAAAGCTCTGGATTCAATCCCAAATATCAAAACCAAAACATACAAACAAACAAACAAAACCAAAAGGAACATTAAAAATGTAAAAAAGGATCAGGTCACGAGAAACAGAGAGTAAAATTTATCTACTTGCTGTTATCTTAATTATATTTTTTTATAGATGTAGTGGCATAGAATATTTGTTTCAAAAACTCGTATGTAGCTTTGGAACATCATATACAAATGTTCCATGCAATTCTTTTACTCAGTTATATTTTCTTAAATACTATTAGTTCACATTCCTTAGCAAATAAAGAGTAAAAGAAATTTTAGAAAATGAAATATAATTATACATTGAGATAGTGGAGATGGTGGAAAGTAACCAACCTGGGACTAAAAACGCTTAAGATAATCCCCAAGGACACAAAAAGGTTTATGTTATAAATAAATATAAACACTGTAATATGGGAAATGAAAAAGAATGTGAATATAAACATATAATTATCAGTAATTTGTCCTTAACTCTTATATGCTCAGAGATTAGCAATGCTTCCTACTCAAATTATATTTTTATATGAGTAATATTTTAAAATAAGTGATAAATTATCTGTAGTTTATCTATAGTTTGATACTCCTTTCCATAATAAATAAATTTTTCATACCTAACTTTATGAGTAAAGTTTTACATAAAGGATACATAGCCATTTTACCAAAAATAACTCAATTTGAATTATTTTCAGCATTAATCTTCTTTGAGTTTAATAAGTATATACCTATATCTATATTTTTCTATCTATATATACTATATATGTATTCCTACAAGTCAGTTTTAACACGTTACCATTTAGAACCTATATTTACATTTTCAATCTCAAGTTTTATGCAATAGGCTATGTCAGCTGTATTAACGTATTAGTGATTCCCATTAAACAAAGGGTATTACTGACAATAATATGTTAAGAATGATCTCTGTGTTCAGGTGTGATCTTATACCTATGCAGCTACGTTTAAAAAATAAAACAGAAAGGGATGGAGAGCAGTTAGCTGGTTAATTGAAACAGTGTAGCATGGATAGTGAGAGGACAAAAGTGAAAATGAGTCACTGCTTATATAAGTTACAATGGAAAATTTTTATTCAATCAATTATTGGCTAGGAGGGTCTGAAGTAATAACCAGGTAATAAATTGGGTTAAGAAAAATGGCCCAGGTATATTAACAGTTTTGACATTAGAAATAAAAAATTCCTATGTTCTCAGTATCTGTGTATTCAAAAAAGAAAAAAAAGTCTGATAGGTTTTAATATTACACGTAAATACAATATGTCTGCATATTCAATCATATTACATAACATCCTAGAAGAAAATTCTCCAAACCAAATTCCCAGTGTAGTATATATTTAGTCATGCAGAAATAGTTGAAAATGCCAAAAGGAAGCATTAAATAAAATAGCTGAATTAAACCCATATTTCATTCTATCAATAGTCATGCTGTTTATTTCTCATTTTTCTTTCCTTTTCCAACAACCTTACCTTGTATATACTAACAAAAGAGCCAAGAAAAGCTCCAAGCTGAAAGTTTTCTTTGTTGTAGAACAGGGAAAGTAGTCGGGATGGCTGTGTAAACAGATGCCTAAATGCAGAGGGGATTCTGAGGCAGCACTGGATCAAATATCCCACACTAAACATTCTGATAAAACCCTAGAGAAAAAATTGGAACAAAATTCTGATGTACAATCAATTTTAAAATTTGCTAGAATATGAACTTTATCATCTCAGAGTCAAAGCAAAAAGGTTTAATACAAGGTTATATCACAACAATTTTCAAAATAAAGCCTTAAAACTTCAAACAATAATTTTAAAATCTTATATATAAGGATAAAATGTTGGAGTGAATAAGATTTGAAAAGTCTCATAAGCAATGGCAATGTGCACCAAAATTCCATTTCTGGACACTTTGTTGAAAATAACTAGGATTTTTAAAATTACTAAACCACAAACAAATTTTAGAAAAAGAAGCAGTGAAATTTAGAAAGAAAAATTAACAAAACAAATGTTTTTGGAATTTTAAACAGAAAACTATTCCTAATCATTAGTATAAGCAGAAATTCTTCTAATACAAAGATAATTTCATTATTTGTTTAGATCTTTGGTACCAAATTTTTAAATTATCAGAGTAGAAAAATTTTCCAGGGGAAAAAAACATTTCTCAATTTTTATTCCTGTGTTCAACTGCATCAGACTAAAACACCTCTCAGGAATAGCTGCTTTACAATATATTAATTTAAACTGAAAACAACATTATAATACTACTCTCTCATCCTCTTCCTGCTCCTCTCTCACTTGCAATACAATGGGGAAAAGTATCTGTACTCCTCGCCTTGCTTGCCTAAAGTTCCCAAAGTCAGTTTTATTTTTTTTCAGACTGTAGCTTTCTTTTCTTTTAAAAAGCAAAACAGAAAAGAAAAAACCTGAATTACAATGAAGTGGTATTGTTTAGTCAACCCAAAACTACTCAGTATGATTAAAACACAAAAATTAACCAATTAGAGTAAATTACCAAGTATTTGCCTAACGATAATTGCCTACTATCTGTTTAATATGTAAAATGATCACACTTCTCTCTTTATCATGGATATCTTGTAATACTAGTCTAGGGCAGCAACAGCAAACCTTTTAGAGCTTTCAGAGATATAAACAGCCCTATGGTATGCTTGCCACAGGTTCACCACCACTACACTAGGCATTTAGTGCTCACATTCTTCTCATGCTATTTCCAGATAGAATAAATTTTTGAAAACTCATTCATATGACTGTTCATGTATTCAGAATATATTTGCTGAATGCCTACTATATGCCAAGATCACACTACATATAGTAGTAGAGAAGACACAAAATTCTTGCCCTTCTGGAGTTTTACACAATGCTCACAGAAAGAGAAAATAGGTAAGTAAACAAATAAACACAGAATAATTTTAGTGTATAATAAATGTTACAAAGGAAATAATCATGGCACTAGAGTAATCTATATTAGAAAAAAAGAAAAGCTAATGAAGATATAGCAGTTAAATAAACCCAAAAGAGAAGCTAGCATGAAAAACGACTTCAGATAGTTGGAAAGAAAGCACAAAGCCAATAAAGAGGTTGGCAAGTACAAGGAACCAGCAAAAATAAAAGTATTATAAGTTCAGGAGAATGTGATTAATATGAACATCTACTCAGAGATGTGATTTAACATGTGAAGAAAAAAAGTCCATAAAATAATGTGGCACACTCTCAAAAAACATTACTACATTTGTGGTTTAAATTCTTCACTCATAGGTTACAAACTTTCACATGCATGGGTATAATATTGCAACTTATACAGAAATCACCATGCTTATAATACACATTTGAATCACTAAGTGTTTCCATCACCTAATAATGCTTATTTTCTGTCTTTGTTCATTTGTTTGTTTGCTTTTGTTTTTGTTTGAGAAAGGATTCAGACTGCCCTTGGATTCACTATGTAGCTCTGGCTGGTCTAGAATTCCCAGTGGTCCTTCTGCCTCAGTCTACCAAGTGGTTGGATTATAGGTATGCACCATTATGCCAAAATACTCAAAAAAATTTTAATATCACTAACCCTAAATTTTTCAAATGCCTCTGACTTAATCAGAGTATTTCTCTTAGTTCTTCTCATGATTTCTTCCTTTAAACTACAATCATGCTTAGTTGGAAGAAATATCTTTTCATTAGCCAGTAAATTCTGAGATTGCCAACAATGTTCCTTTTTCTTTTATCTTTTCTTTCCTTTCCTTTTTCCCCTTCCTTCTCCTCCCCTCCTTTCTCTTGCCTTCTCTTTCCTTTCTTTCCATTTCTTCCCACATTAAAAGTAAAGCACAAAGGCTTAAGTTTGTAGCTCAGTGGTACAGTACTTGCCTGGCATTTGAAGCCATGGGTTTGATCCTCAGGACAGGAAAAAAAAAAAAAGTGAAGCGGGAGATCAAATTTGGAAAATGTGTATCAGAAACTACTGTGCAACTGAAAAATTACTCTTCTTTTAACCCTTCTCACATCTTTAGGGATTCTGAAGGTAAGTGTGGGCTTGGGCAAATGTCATGGCAACACTGGGCACAGTCATAAGCACTGAAGTGAGACAGTTCCTCCTTTCTAAAGTAACCACAAGGAGACTATCTTTGAGGGAGTTGCTCAACTCAATTCCCATCATCACTGAGTGGGGATTAGACACTGTGGAAAAAAAAATAGCTTTAAAAAGCATCAAATATTGTTACAGGGCCATCTAAAACTACGAAACTTGCAGCAGGTTGTTTCCGCCTGTAGCAGAATAACTGCAATAAAATAACTTTCTTCCAAGAACTAGTGGTGATGAGAAATTCAGAGGGGAGGGTGGATGGAGAGAACTGTTACACTACTAGAAAGTAGGGAATTTATGACAGCTAACTTTCTTAATGTAATGCAACTGTGAACACACAGCTTGATGTCTTTATGAATACCTTATAGATTTATAACTCCAAAACCAAAGTCTGAGCTGGGGATTTAGCTCAGTGGCATGAGCACCTGCCTGGCTAGCATGAAGGCACCAGGCTATAAGTTCCATCTCTAGTACCGAAAAAAAAAAAAAAAAAAAAAAAGAAAACCAAAGACCACTGTGTCACATTGCACAGTGCATCCAGTGCATTTCAGTGTATATATACTCATCCAATTAGCACATCACATAGTCTGAGAGCATATTTTGGGATGTAGTTCTAATGAGAACACATTAGGGCAAATTTTAATGACTTTTTATTTTTTGTTCTTCCTTCATTTCTTTTACTTTGTAGGTTTTAAATGAGTTTTTCTTTTGTTTTTGTGGTGAGATCAAACCCAGGTTCACTCACATGCTGGGCAAATATTCTACCATTAGGCTATAGTCCCAGGGCACAAAAAACTAATTTTTAAATAAGCTAAACTAAAATTCTTTTAAGGATCTAAGTGAATATTAAAAGATAAATTATTACCTATTCTCACAGATTTCTTATTTTTCAAGTCAAACGCAATGAATAATAATCACTAATGTTAAATTTTCCATTGACTTGATAATTATTTCTTAGCAAGTTGTTATTGCTACAGGTATTTCCTGCTGTTAAGAAAACAGGTACTTTTACACACTTACTTTAATGCAGTAAGAGATGCAATTATCTTCATAGTGTTTACAACATCTATGTCTTGGTCCATGCTTGCACCTGAAATTAAACCCCAAAACAATCTAATTAAAATTAATACATGTGTATGTGTGTGTGAGCACCAGTGTGCACATGTGTTTGTACATCTGTTTAGAACTAACTCCAAGGAAGAGAATCACCACTTCTTTCTAAATGCATGGAACTTTTTTATTTTAGGACATATTGAAACAAGTAATATATTTTTGTGGATTTTTCATTGTTTATCATTTGACACATTGTACAGAATATGTAACTACAGTAAAAATACTTGAATGTGGACTCTAAAAACCACATGGTTAAGTATTTGTGACTAACTATGAAAACTATGTGTATATTACTCATATATACTGCCAAATCTTTGGAAGCTTTAAATTGCATAGCATAATGGTCACAAATCATCCGTGAAGCCAATATTTGAGCAAAAATCATAATGAGAATGTGCTCAGGTTACAGAAACATATACTTAATTATATTTGAATGAAAACATCTGGAAAAGAAACATGATACAGTATTAGAACTCAAAATTCAGTTTTTAAATAAATATACAAATAAAAATCATACAGAGCTTCAAAAAGATAGGTTATTTGTGATTTACCTATAAGCCACTCAGCCCTCCAGTGTTTAATAGAAATATTTCTGCTGAGAGGACTACTGTTCAAGACATATTCATTTTAACTGTTTGGTGCATTGGCTCCACTCTTGGCATTAAAAAAAAAAAAAAAAAAGTAGGCTATCTTGAGTCTAGCTCTTTCCCTTTCTCTCTGAAGTGTTCATTGTCCACAATAAGCAGCCCTTATAACTTCTCTATGACTAATGAATTATTTCCATGATTGAAATACATCTTTTTCCTGTTTATACCAAAAACTAACAAAGTAATGTCTGGCTCGGCACCTTTTTCATTTGTAACTGAGTAACAACATCTTTCCAGAAATCTAATTCTTAACAGTAGTTGTATTATCCAGGTAGCTTTTCCTTGTCAAAAGTGACAGCGACAGTTTACATAGATATAAGTCCTGATACTACCAGAATGATATGACATAGCTGGCTGTGAGAAGTTGCTGAGTGATTCAAGTTGGAAGCACGAAAAGACAAGAATCAGAAAAAGGAATCATGCAAACTGTCACGCTTCAGATTTCTAAGATTCTTCTTCAAAAACATTTTAACATGCCAGAACTATACATAAATTATTAAACTCTGATATTAATTTAGTAGTGCCATTTAATCTCTATTTAGCCATTAAAAATGAGTGTGCAAGTCCTGGACAGTTGACTCCTTATATTGCTTTGCTTCTGCATTATTCTACTCAGTTTTCCAGCAGGCCAACTAAGACTGCCTAACAAGCTCTGCCATGTATGTTTTTATCACTTCTGACACTCAAGGCATCATTTACCATATAATTTGCACTCTCTTCTCATTTTGTTGAAATGATTCCCATTAATTGGAACCTTTCCTCACTTTTCTCCACTATGGTTACTCCTAACTATATTTGAACTTAATTATCCCTGTCATCCATCACTTCTTTCTTCACTCCTATGTTCTTGGTACAGTGTATGAAAAAATTTTTAGTAAAAACTTAAGTACTCACTGTGTTTATACATTATTACTGAGTGATTTTATATGTAGTTTTATCTGAGGCTTACAACAATTGTAACAGAGATTATTAACCTCATTTAACAGGTAATGACTCTGAGGTGCACAGTGGTTAACTACTTAAAGTTACAAATCTGGTAGAGGCAAATAAAGAGTCAAAAAACAGGTTTTCTGATTTCTTATAAGGCTTTATATCCTTATCAATGATCCTTAACTTTTAATATTGGCTATTTTTTCTGTCCTTTTAAAAATAATCATCACCACAATTACCCTGACTTGCTGAGGGTTCTAACTTTGCAGCCTTTAAATTTATTAAATGTCTACAGTGGAAATTAAATAAATGTATGAAACATAATTTTTTAAAAAACCATGAAAAGATTTCTTATTTTAGTCTGAGAATCCTAAAAATTTTCACTCTTACAAAATGTCTTTACTAACGGTCTATTTCTCATTGTCTCAATATCTTCTTGAATCTCTTTCAGGAGCTTTTCTTTCTCCTTTTCACAGCTAGCATATTCAAAGGGCAGATAGTAACATGTTTCTTGAAATTTCTTCTTAGTTTGAATAGTGAGAAAATTGTATCAATTTCACGCAAATCTATTTAAAAGGCATAGGACGGTTTACCATCCTGTGGACAAAAGGAAAACACATTCACTTGCCATCATTTGCCTTTCTTTTAATACCTGATATAGTTTCTGATTAAAGAAAAAAAAGTAATAATGCTACCTAAAAGGAAAGCAAAAATACCTTTATGTGGTGCAAATATCATATAAAACAGTGACAAATTGTGTTAAAATATTAAGATAAAGAACTCACACTGAGTCCACAAATTTTCTAATTAGAGTGATTATATTCATTCTTCTTGGTTTTTCCTTATGTTCCTCTCTCCTTTGTTCCACTTTTGCATATGCTGTCTCTGGTGAATAAGAATGTGTGGGAATTTCTTCCTTACCCACAATGAACCTAAAGAACAGAAGAAAACTGTAAGGCACTTTTCATCATTAAAAATAAATAGGTGCTGTGGACAAATGAACTATGAAAATTTAAGCACTTAGAAAAGAGAAAGCCATTATTATCAACAACTGTAACCCACCCTGTTTGAACAAACTTGGCAAAACATTCAAATTACTAAATCATATGTGTATAAAGGATTTGTTTGTCACTTGATGAAAATGAAACATTGGTCCCCGTTAGGCCAAAAGAATCAGCTTCTAATTCATAAGTATACACAGAGTTTATATAATCTGTACTACTGTTTTATTGTTGTGGCCGTTGTTGCTATTTTGAGAATTTTGTTTTTGTTTCTTTAGTACTGAGGACTGAACTCCAGGTCTTTGTGCATCTCCAGTACCTTTTTTGTTTTGTTTTGCTTTGCTTTTGGAGACAGGATCTCACTAAATCACCAACTTGGCCAAACTGAGCAGGAAATTGTATCAGCCTCTCAAGACTATCATGATTATAGACATTTACCACACTATATGACAAGGGTAAAACTACCCAGAAAAGATGTAACACTTTCTCACATCTTTCACAGTGATACTGACTCTGTGCTGTTTTGGTCAGCACTGGCTATCTCAGATTAGTGGTCCCTTTCTCGGAGAAGCTGTTCCTATCAAAAGAGGAGTTAGTGATCCTTCTTATATGTTCTTATAGCTAATGAATCCCTAAGGACAGTAAGCACCATTTTAGTAGTCTGCACCTTCCATAGAAATCTGGGGATTGTGAGACGAGCACCCCACATACAGTAAATATTTAACTAACATATACTAAATGAATGAATGCAGTAGTTAGCATTTTCTGAGTACTTACTACACAACAGGCAGTGTATAGAAACACTACAGGTATCATGATTTCTATTAAACTTAGCATGGATAAGCATCTTGCCCACAGGCCATAAATTGTCAGTAATTATTTGAACACAGCCATCTAACTCAAAAGCCTGGTCCCTTCATCTCTGAACTATGTATACTTTCAACTGTACCTTAAACTATGGTAGATACAGGACCAGTATATCTTCAGATACTGTGCTGGCCTCTCTCCCATGGTCCCGTTCTTGACACTTTCTATCTGTGCCCATAATTTTTATCAGAAAATTTTTATCAAGTCTGGCAGATAAAAGCCAAATCATCCCACACAACTTTCACAGGAAGCTTCTTGAAACATAGATCTGTACTTGCCACTTTTATAATCAACAAACTTTACTGGCTTATGGCCTATTGAGTTAATGACAGACTTCAAATTTAAGCTTGAAATCTATCATTAACTCAATAGAAGAACCAGGAAGAAAGCTACACACACATACCCTGTGCACCAGTGGCAGCTTTGATGGCTGGGAAGAACCAAGAGGGAAGTTATGCAGTTCCCCATGCACCAGCAGCAACCATGACAGCTGGGGAGTGCCAGGAAGGAGACCCACCCCTCAACCCCATTAGCCAGCCATCACACAGCCTGGGAGAGAAGAATCTCCTCCTCTGTAAGCAGCCAGCTGATTTGGAGGAACACAGGTTGAGATGATAACAACTGGAGTAAAAAAACAACCTAATGCTTGTATTGCTTGATTGACTTTGCAGGTCTAAAGCCAGCAGTCTGAGCAATTACTTAGAGGCTAACAATATAGTTACTATTATGGGGGAAAAAAGTCATATAAGATAATACTTTTGGAAATTTATAAAAAGAACATACAATGAGACACATTATTTTTTGACAATGAAATTTGACAATAAAAAGTACATTTGGCTTTTAGATTATTCTTCTGAGTAAGAATTTAGTATCTTTGAGAATAATCAATTTCCAGTACAGGAAATCTGAAATGAAATCACATTTGTTTAGTGAAAGATACACAGTATGAATAGATGGCAATTCATAATACTTAACAATTCCCTTTGACAACAAGAATACTACCATAAACAAACATTTTCCATAACATTTTTCTGTAATAATGTATAGGGAAAAATTTATAAGAGCAAACAGGCCCTTATTACTAGTGGATCCAAAGAAGGCACACAAAATGTATCTAAAACCTTTGAGTAAAGTATCTTTTTGTTTTCTTATCAACTTTCAGTTAAACACAAGGCTCTATAGTCAATGTAAGCACAACAGCAGTAGTTATTTCCTAATAAATTTATGAGTTTTTAGTGAAAAACATAAGGTAAGGCAATTACTGTTATAGGTTGACTTATTTACCATAAAAGTTTCCACAAGCAAAAATATATTGAATCACATAGTGGACTTGATTCTTTCTCCCTCAAAAACCAGTTTCCTTGCCTGTCATCTAATTTTGTTAGTAGGACTTTTAAGTTCATAGGTTTTCAACATTTTTCTAGGATTGAGAGGTAGAGAGGAAGAGAAAGACTGAACCTATCAGTCACTAGGTCTTCATTTCAAGTCTCAAGTTTATCTTTTCCACTTTAATTCTCTCACTGTCAATCAAATCCCAGCCCTTATTATTTTGTCTTTCTACCTTGAAGTTCTCTCTTTTTCAATGTCCAAATACTATGGCTAGACTAATCATTCTGAAAAACTGCTCAAGATCCTTTAGTGGTTCCCTACTGCCCACCTTGTCAAACCCAAGTTTGTCTTCTCCACATACAGCTCCTTTCTACAATCTGACTCTACTTTACCTACCCAAAATATCTTATATTCCTTAATATAAAATTTTGCTTATTAGATTTTTCTCACTCCTGTGTCACATTTCATTTTTACAATTTTTAGCCTTTTGTTAATATTACTTTACCCAGAGTGCTTTTCCTATTTATTTATAGTTATCTAAAACTAACCTTTAAATATAGCTTAAGGCATATAATCTATAAGATTAATCAAATATTCCAGAAAATATTCTGGCAAATATTTTCATTAGTAACCCATTTGACTCTCAGAATTATTTTATGAGAACTTCTCCTAATCCTGAAATCCATCCTAATTTCTCCCTCTTACTTGAAGTAAATATCATGTAAATAAGCTTCACTAAACAAGTATCATATGTACTAACAGAGGTACTATGAGATAAAGAAAAGACTCCAGCTATAATTAAGATCTAATATATGCGTTTGACAGAATATATCCTACGCATAATTTGGTACCACATAATTTAGTCCTTAATGTTTTGGTAACTGTTCATATACAGCTTTGTCTTTCAAGCTCCTATTAATATAATAAGAGTTCTTGTCTTTTTTTACTATCAACATAAAACACAATAGGCCCAAAAAACAGCTAACAAATTTTCAAGGGAAAATAATCTAATAAATTATTATTTCAATGAACTATCAATAAAGGTTTGGAATTATTGTCATGATTTTAAAAACTGCTATTAGCTTAAAAATTTAGTGTACAAATATTTATTATAATCAGAAATATTTTAAAAAGTTAACCCATAAATTCTTACACAACATAAAGACTTACCTAAGTGCCGAAAATGTAAATCCTTTCAAACCATCTTTGCACCTGAAACAAAAATTATCATAAAATAATATTTTGAGATATAAAGCAGTAAATCAGTAGATATCAAATATTTTTCTAAGATGATATTCTAAAACATGAAACTCTTAGGATAATCATCTAAGCATTATAGTCAAACAAGCAATAAGCAGTGAAGCAGCTCACCTTACACAAAACTATTAATACAACAGTTTGCTACATCATATTAACATAACTTAGTGTTCAGTTTTCAGATCTTGAAATTGCCCCATCTGGACCTAAAATGAGGGCTAGGAACAGATAATCCTTAATTCTATCCAATACCTTGGGGAATGATTTTTATGATTACAAAAACTATACACACTTTCTAGGTATTATATATAAGTCAATCTGAGGTCTCAGTTTCTCTCAATTTGATGAATTCAGAGCAACACAGAATAGCAGGCTCAGAAAAGCTTCAAGTTCAGTGCAACCATTTTACCTTCTGATTTAGTACAATCAGAACAAATAACAGAGAGAGAACAGGGTTAGGGTAGGGAGAGGGAACAAGGAGAGAATTACAACTAGTATTTTGAGTTTTCACTATTTACACTACATCTTTATTAATAGAATTTTCTCTATTTCATAGCTGCACAAAGGTTCAAACAATGTAAGAGGTCACAATATTCACAGCAGTAAGAATTTAGGGTGAGAGGTAAAAAGACTTTAAAAGTCATGCTTTTTTTCTTACCCATTCTCCTTGTATTGTTTTTAATTAGGAAAAACTAAAAATTCTCAAGAGTTCCAATAATATATATGTATATATACTTAATAAGATCTGATCACCTTACATAAAGTGCTTCTGAGACTTATCAAAATCTCTTAAAAAATCTATAAAGACTAATGATATAACAATACTTATATATGATCAAAACATATGGTGAATGTTTATACTTTTTAGAAGTTTATTATTATAAAAGACATTGCCATTACTCATCCTCAAGATAGTTCATTGCTTCAAAAATACTTAACCTATGTTTCCTGACACTTTTGAAGTAGTTCTGGAGGCCTCTTTCATAAGTGTCTTAAGTTGCACTATCAGGACTGCTCAGGCGCCTGAGTTGATACAAAACATTTACTTTTCATGGTCATTTTGACTTGGATGAAGAGTCAAAGTCACACAGAGCCAGAGCCAGTTAATAAGGTGGGTAAGGACACATTTTTATGTTTTTATTTGACAGAAAATGCCATAAATGTATGATCAATGTGGGATGATCATAAAATAGTGAATATTAAAATTTTAAAAATTTATTATGATACAAGATGCATTGCCATTAATTCCCCTAAAAATACTTCCTCTCACTTTGAACATACATACCCGATGGTTTGTGGCAATGTGTTCTTTATTGTAATAAGATTTTTGAAAATTTAAATATTCATCATCTTTTGATCACTCTTTGTTATGTTAATATTAAGATCTTAAATATTCTTGAATAAACAATACAACTTCAAATATAATATAACTCCTTCTGTATGCCTTCTGTATGAAATGTCATAAAGGAAATACATAAAAGGAATCTCCTGTTCTGTCTCTGTTTATATATATTATACATACATACATATAACATATACATACATGTAAGACGCAACACAGAATCTCAGAAAAAATTAATGCAAGTACACAGAAATGCTTTAAACCACTTCAGGGTTCATTTCCACTAAGGACATAGTCTCCCCTGAGGTCATGTTAACAGAGAAAAATGGAATCACCAAATTGCAGTAATATATTACATAGTCATGTTTTTTAAAAATCATCTTTTCTATAAAGAAAGTAAAGACAAAAGAATTCATAAGTCAAGTTAAAAGATGTGCATGGGGAAATTACAGAATTAAAATTCTTAAGTTTGTATTGTTCTAATCTGAATAAAGTATTTCACAATAATATAAAACCCATAAATAGTATATCTAGGCAAGTTCCAGCCCTCCTGGGTAACTTTTAGGGATTCTGCAAGTCTGTTACAAAATTAAAACAAAATACAAAAGCCCTGGGGGGGGGGCATCTCAATGGGAAGGCTCTGGGTTCAATCTGCAATACCCCTCCTCCCCTTCTAAAAACAAAAACAACCTGGAAAAAAAGAAAATCCTACATGGGCATAGTGATGGAAGCACAGGCTCGGTGCCTACTGACTGAAAAAATGAAAACAGTACATTAACTAAAAGATTATGTACATTTGAGAACAAATTTTGGCTTTGATTTCTTATCTTTGGGTAATGCTGAATAGACAAAAGATTCTGCCTTTGTCAACACAGCATATTTGTCACACTGAATAGTAAATTTAATTGCAGACCAAAACATCAAAAACTACCTTTCAAGTATAAAAGGAGCATATAGAAATGAATCTGCAGTTTCAATGTGATGGAAGTTCTTCTTTCAGTAGAACCCTGCGGGAAGCACTGCACATTGATAGTCTTAACATGGATTCCAAAAGGGTTATTCTTCTTTCCATTCATGTGTATAAGGTTTGTTAATGTAATTGAGGGTCAGATGTCTATGTCAAAAACACAAAAAAAGTAATTATTCCCATAAAAAGAATCTTTAAAACAGTAATATTGCCCTACATTTTTCACATCAAGAGTATTGTCTGAGCATTATGAAACACTATTGTAAGCTGTGAAAAATGTAGAAAAGATGATACAAAGATTTAAATAAATCCCACAGAAGATACTTCATTCTTCTATAGAATTGGTCACTGCAATACATATCAAATCATATTCTCCATTTAAGTATTAATGCTCACTGACTTATTCAACTATTATTACTAAATGCTTCTATGTGTAAATGTTGGTTTAAAGTCCAAGGAGGCTAACATTGAAAAACAGAGTATCTCTGCTTGCATACAGCTGGTATTCTAGAAATGGGGGGAAAAAAACTTAGTTATATCGTGAAAACTACCAATGTAAAAAAGCTGAAAAATAAGGAGAAAATAGTGATGGAATCAAGATTTCTTATTTTACAGTCAAGAAGGATCTATCTAAGAAGGTAAAAGTTGATAATCTCATTAAAAATGTTGATAAACTGAAGGAAGGCATTTCAGCTTGTAGTAGTAACACTACGTACAAAGTCCATGATAACAGTCAGGATAACAGCAAGTGGATTACTTAACTGGTTCACAAAAGTAGGTGTAGAAAATGAGGTCAGGTGGAAAATGGTAGTATGGGTGGAGAATGGGAATGGCCCAAAACGCTTGAAGACTCCTTTAGACATTACAAGGATTTTAGGATGTTTTCAGCAGAGGAGTGACATGATCTGTCAACTTTTAACAGAACCAATTTGGCTGCTGGTCTGAACATAAACTATAGGCGAATGTTATATATTAAAAACTGGTGGTCAATGTAACACTAGCTGGATTAAATCAGCACACTGCTGAGTATAGATGTTCCACCTGAGCAAAGCTTTCAGCATAAATAGAGATGTGGAGAAGGAGAAGCGAGGCGTTGTGCGTTTCACTAAGTATTGCTGTTGGTTCTCCTGAGGAGCTCTGGTCCTTACATGGAGCATCACTTCTTACTCCGGAGGGGACACATATGCCATTTAATCTCCAGGACAAACTCATCATGCTGCCTTCCTGGCCTGTGCTTATCGTCAGAGGAGCTCAGGACCTCCATATCACTGAGGATGGCCGTGGTACTTTTCAGGGCAGCCCTGGTGTTTGAGTGTGACTTCTCAACTCCAGTGTAGAACTCTCAATCTAAGCACAGTTTATTCAATCCACTGGCATAGACTTTCTAGTTTCACCACTGACCTCTGGGCCTTCCCAGCATGGATCTGTAAAACAGAGTGCTGTGAGTCCTTCTAGCTGGACTCGTGGAAGGCATTGGGCTCTAGCTGTTCAGCTGGATTCATGTGGGACATTGCTGTGGGATCCAGGCCCTTGGCTGAATATTCTGAGTCTTTAGTGTTGTAGACAGATTTCCTGTACTTTCTTGTGTTAACTCTGAATAACCATCATAAAATAATATTATAAATTCTGTATCCTGATTCTAATTGTTCTCCTCCCAACCCCTGACTACAATAGAGAGCGAGTTTAGAGTCAAGGAGAGTAGTAAGGATTGGAAAGATAACTGTGATATGAGGTGAAGGAAAATATTAAAAATTGGAATGTATTTCGAAAGTAGAGCTAGCAGGGTTTCTTGATAGAACAAATGTGAGGTAAAGAAAATTATTAATTATTAGCTAAATTACTGAAATATGTTTCCTTAGAGAAAACAGGAAAATAAAATCATCACTTACTGAAAGTGAGATCCTACTGGATGAACAGTGTCAAGGACAAAATCAAAGGTTTCTTTTACACATGCAAAATTGGAGACATGTTTTAGTTAGTAATAGAAACTAATAGTTTAGTTTCTAGTAGAAAAGTGAGGAAGCAAACATTTGGTTATACAAATCAGGGGTCACAGAGGAGATCTGATTCATTTATATGTAATACTGATGAGACGAGATACAATCATATATATGAAAGAAATGTCTATAAAAGAATTGTATAAGGACTGAATATATTTTATTCTTTCATAACATTTAATACAAAAAAGTCTTAGAAGAAAAATATTTTGTTTGTTCGTTGGTTTGTTTTGTCTTTTTGAGGTAGGGTCTCACTATGCAGTTCAGGCTGGCCTTGAGCTCATTTTGTGTCCCAGGTTGGTCTTGAACATGCAACAAACCACCTACCTCAGCCTTCCAAGAGCTGGAATTATATGTGACATCATGCCTGGCTTGTTGTTTTTAATCAATGTCCTCTCTAAGTCTTATTTTTATTTTTAAGTGTAAAGGCAAAGTATTTAACTCATGTATACACAGACTTCTCTATTTGGTCTATATATGTGATGTAAAATAACAACAATAATTTAAATCATATTCATTTTTACTTTGTAAGATTTGATGATAGCTTAAAATGTAATATAAAATAGAGCCAAAAAAAGAAAACAAAAAGGAAAATGGGCATGAAGTGTTGGGAGCCTGCTGTATTACCCATGAGAATATAGCCACAAGA